ATCTCACCTGCTCTGTCCCTTGAACAGATGTAAACCACCTTGTGAGAGGGCTCCATGCTGGCTGACATTGTCTTTGCCTCAGTTTAAAGTGCCCATGTTTTTCTGGAAGATGCTTGGATATGCATGACATTTCTGAACATAACAATGGGCTTGGGCCAGCAAGGAGGCTTTGTAAGAAAGGATGGGGTCACTGAAACTATTTAAAAAAAAGAGAGAAGGAAAAGAAAACCTCAGGCATTTTAATATATTAAATACAGACCCAATTATTAATTCTAAAGACTTCTACAAATCAACCTAGTTGAAACTTTTTTCACCTTTTTCTGCCTTTCCCCCCCTTCTCAGAAACATTTAGACCTACCCTTTGGCAATGACTATCGGGAAGTCTCTATCCTGTATATCAGGGTAGCACAAATAATTCAGCATAAAGCAGCCCAGTTCCTGTAGCCTGGCATTAGGATAAGTATATCTTAAGAAAGTTCTTATGCAGACTTGGCTTCAGGCAATAAGACGTCATAGATGTATAACTGTAGCAAGCGAAATTTCTAGGGAGCAAATTAGGCTGAAAACATCTTCTAGAGACAGCTAGAAAGGAATTGTACACCACCCCAAAATAAGGCAAGTTATGCAGTAAATGTTTCATTTATTGGCCTTCTTCCATTACCATTAGGGTTAAAAGACATCTTGTCAATAAGAAAGGTATATTTATGGAGGACTGATGTCTTTTGAAAGGCTGCTCCTGTCACAAATGCCTATATAGCAGTAGTGATCAGCTTATGAAGGCAGATGATGAAACTCTGTACAAATGCCTACATCTCCCCATTAACCCTTGGATCATCAGGCATTATTGTCACTTTATTACCCAGACCTGTCATTAGCTGAAGCAAGGTGATCAAGCCAGGCACTTCAGAAAAATGCCAGAACAGAACAGTGTTCCTCAGGGTTTCAAGAGAGAGGGGATGTGCCTTTCCATGTCCCTTGACAGAATCATTGGGGAAAAATAAAAGGATGCCTGTGAAGTGGGCCTTTTTTGCCTACCCCTTCCTCCTGCTAAAATTGAAAACTCTCCGAGGTGTCCAATTTTTAGTGATCCTATGTTGGCTCAGGGAGTAGCTTTCCTCAAGGTCCAAATAAGGAACCATCACCCACGCAGAACAAAAAGCAAACAGAAAAATCTCACAGTGGAAGCAGGACTTCGCTTCAAAACATTTCCCCATTTTATAGCTTCCTTATGTTTAAGGTTCTTTTTTTGGCTTCCCTCAGTCAGCACACTCCCTGCATAGATAAGTCCAACACAGTGGGTAGCAGATCATCCATCTTGGAACCCGGGTCTTTAAGGAAAAATCACACAGAACAAATACACACGCATACATGTACACGTCACTGTTGAGGGTCATTGAGTGGAATCTGGCTGAGCGGTTGGGGGAGCTGAGTGTGCTTGTCAACATGTATTTCTCCACTTCTGGTGAATCTGAGCAGACTCTCCTTGTTTTTCTTAAATTCCAAAGCTGAACTTCCAACATGCTTTCTCCTCTTTGTTGGTGTGCTGGTGAACATTTTAGCATAACTAGGGTGTGGGCTGAAACTATGGAATCATGGGCCCCCTGGGTGTTAAAGAAGGACCCGGGGAAATACCCAGTCCAACCACCTCATCTGTCAGGTGAGACAGTTCTCAGAGGACAGAGGTAACGTTTGCCTATTTCCGCCATCCCCATCAAGCACGTTCTCATTGGTTGGAGGACACCTACCACTCTGCAATGGCTCCCCTATGGGGAACCAACATCCGAAGAATGATCTGCATCCTTGATGAGCAAGGAAATATCTCTGAGAAAGGGGACCTGTTCACTTAATTTTCAAGGGAAAATGCAGATTACTAATACCAACATGTGTCCACAGGGATTTAATAGAAGGACAGCTGAAGGGGAGGAGAAAACAGAAGAGTGAAGAAGCAGAAGGGCAGTGGATGAGGAGGAGAAGCAGGAAGAGAGAGGCTGAAGCATAGTCTCCTTAGAGTTCAGGACCTGGGCTGGCCCCAGGAATGGGCACCCAAGAAAGAGGTCACAACTTCTTCCCCACCCTGCCCTCCTCCCAATATGCAAAACCCCTTGGCTCAGGCCAAAGTCAGAACTGGTCTGCTTTCTTCCCTGTATTCTTCGAACCCCCTGCTATTGGGGCAGAACTCATGGTCCCGTAAATTAGGAGTCATCAGTATCTGGAGAAAGAAGTTGCCTCCACACCGGGACACAAGCCAACTGTTGTTTAAAATTCCACACCAAATCTATAAAATACATGTCCACATTGTGAGCCAACCTGACTTAAAAAAAAATGTATTATATTACCCTGCTTTTTGCCAATTGCAATTCCACACTCTCTCCCTCCCCCACCTCCCATCCGGGCATCACCTGAAGCCCTTCCAGAGACTTGGGGGTTATTGACCCTCTGAGATCTTGCAGGTCTCCCCAACCTTTTTATGGCACGAAGCAATGAAATTAAATGTGGCACATATGCTCTCATGGAATAACTTTTAATTGCTTAATTAAATCAGAGATTTAAAGAAGGAAAGATTCAAGAGTTTCCTTTGAATGAGAAATATGAGGATATGCCAAAATGGATGAGGTTACTAATCATCGGAAGAAAGCCGTTAGTATTTACATATGCTAAAATGCAGGCCAGGACATTAAAAACAATAAGCTTCAAAATTTCCATTCAGTGTATTTATGAGCTTTTATTATCCAGGTAGTCCTATAGAGGACATAGAAGACCTCATTATCCAACTTAATTCAGATCAGGGTTAGATTAAAAAAAAAATACCACCGCACAGGACAAAGAAATTGCCATAAAATTGAGTTACTATGAATGTGTTCCAGTTTAAGTAAATAAGCCCTTAAAACAGGCTTTAGGAAAGTCTGTGCTGTACACAGAACTCAGGCACACTAGGTATGCAGGTGACAATTAGCAAGTGTGAAAAGCTATGGTCATTCGCTAAATGTGTAAATCTAAAGGCAACCAAGTGAAAAGACCTACGAAAAGGAAACTGTTAAATCCATTTGTACATGGATTTAACAGTGAAGCATTTCATTCTTCATGTTTTTACTTGGTGTCTTGAAATAATCCCCTTTCTGTCTCCACTCTCCCTCTCAGAAACTGTGCCCGCCTTATTTATTTATGAAGTCTGAAGGTTAGTCCTACCTGCTGAGACTAATTAGCCCTGTGCTTTGTATCCTATGCAATCCTGTCTGATTAAATGTACACATTTGTTTTACTTCTTTTCTGGCTCCTTCTCACTCTACTTCTGATTTTCTGATTAATATTAAAGTTGGGAGTTACAGTGATTCTCCTCTGTAGCCCCCCCCCCCCAATTTTATTTTGCCTGCGTCTTTACTCTTTAGTGTACTAATGTGGTTGCGAATTTTTCCCAGTGCAGGGGAATTCATTGGCCTTGTCAATCTTGGTATCATTATTTTTAGTAGTCTTCTTTCTGAGACCTTAGCCTATAAAACAGTTTTGCTGAAACCCAAACTCTCTAAATATTATATGGTAAATTTGCTTTCTTTTAGAAACCTTAGGTGCTGATGGGCCAGTTGGAATGCATGTGAGTTTTTTTTAGGAATTGGTGGGATAATTTAGTATATCATATAGACTGCGGACCAACATTGTTCCGAACAGATAATTTGCTAATTCCTATTGATTTCTTTTTTGTCTCCCTTTTCATGTTTTAGTTTCTGGTCCACTTCTCATTGGATATTTGCAAGAAAATGAGTGTCCCTGCTCCAACATCCAGGAAGACTATGTTTTGGGAGAGTCAGGTCTTTTCCTCTTTAACATAATTCTGTTCCCCATTTTGTAGCAAATCTGCTCCCCAGGAGAGTGCCTAAAAACAATACCTGCCTCAAACCCCAGGTTTTCCACCTCCTCCCCGAGCTCTTTCAGCATCAGCTTGGTTAGCAATTTCCTGCCAGAGCCATCTACATCTTGATTATTTGGCCCATCTTTTGGGGATTTCATTTCACACCCCCTTGGAGAAAGACTCCAGCACCACCGATCCCAAAGGTTGGTGAACTTTCAGTTTTATTTTCCCTGGCGGTGTTAACGCCCAAACTTTTCACCTCCAAAGGCAGAAAGGACTTTGAATCCTAGCTCATTTCCTACCACCTCCAACGTCAGTTACCAAAGGAGAGGGAAAAAAAAAGAAAAAAGAACAACACTTTACATTGAAAAGAACCACGTATTTTTCCTTAAGGATATTTTTAATGCCCCTGACTAACACTACAGTATTTGGATTGTTTTTTGGGTAAAAAGTCATCTTGGTATATTTATTCTAGTGAGACTTAAGATTTAATGAAATGACTCACTATTAATAAACAAAAAGGGGAGGGAAGACCTCGTGGACTAATAGTTTCTTTCACTGCCAATGACCAGGAACTTTGCCCGGCTCCCCACTTCCCCAAGCTCTCTGAAAGTGGAGGGCTGATCTTTCTTTTTGACCACTTCTGTTAGATCCCCCGCCCAAGGGTGGCTGACTTCCCTGCTGGATTAACCACTAAGCACCCCCCCCCACCCCTTCCCCACAGCACTCTCCTCCTTTTCCCCTTCCTTAAGACTTATTTCTAATATTTCCAAAGTGCACTTTTTCTGGGCCTCTCCCCATCCCCGCCCCCCAAGTGGGCTTTCCTTCCGCCTTCCTCGGCTCGGATTCCTGACTCGGTCGCCACCCCCTTCCCCTCCTCTCCCACTCCGCATTGTCCTTCCGAAGCCGCCCCCCTCCCGGAGCGAGTCCTGTACCCTCGCCCAGACTCGCGGGCTCGCACCCACTCAGCGCAGGCCTCTCCCCCTGCACACTCCTCCCTCCGACTCTCTCCCCCCTCCTCCCCCGCCCCTCTCCTCCTCCCTCTCCCGGCGCCCGAAAGGATCATTGTTAGCCGCCCCCGCCCCGCCCACCCCGGCTGTTTATTTATGCACACGTCACCGGGAAGGACCCGCCCCCCGGCATCTCATTAAGCGAGTGTGTTCCTCTCGCCCTGTCAATAATCTCCGCTCCCAGACTACTCCGTTCCTCCGGATTTCGATCCCCCTTTTTCTATCTGTCAATCAGCGCCGCCTTTGAACTGAAAAGCTCTCAGTCTAACTTCAACTCACTCAAATCCGAGAGGCACGAGCTCCTCCTGTATCTTCGGCTTCCCCCCCCTTTGCTCTTTATATCTGACTTCTTGTTGTTGGTGGTGTGTTTTTTTACCCCCTTTTTTATTTATTATTTTTTTGCACATTGATCGGATCCTTGGGAACGAGAGAAAAAAGAAACCCAAACTCACGCGTGCAGAAGATCTCCCCCCCTTTCCCCTCCCCTTCTCCCTCTTTCCCCTCCCCAGGAGAAAAAGACCCCAAAGCAGAAAAAAAAAGTTCACCTTGGACTCGTCTTTTTCTTGCAACATTTTTTTTGGGGGGGGGGCAAAACTTTTTGGGTTTTTTTTTTTTTTTTTGGCTTTTCTTCCTCCTTCATTTTTCTTCCAAAATTGCTGCTGGTGGGTGAAAAAAATGCCGCAGCTGAACGGCGGTGGAGGAGATGACCTAGGCGCCAACGACGAACTGATTTCCTTCAAAGACGAGGGCGAGCAGGAGGAGAAGAGCTCCGAAAACTCCTCGGCAGAGAGGGATTTAGCTGATGTCAAATCGTCTCTAGTCAATGAATCAGAAACGAATCAAAACAGCTCCTCTGATTCCGAGGTAGGAAAAGCCCCTCGGGCTGGTGGGGTCTTGAGTCTATTTCCTGGGCTTGGCAAACGGTGCCGAGAGGGGAGGAATCGGGGCCGGGGGCGCCGCGGGGCCGGGCGGGCGGCATGTGAACGCGGTGCCACCATTGCAGAAACTTGTAACCCTGTTTTCTCTCCCCCCCAACCCCCCCACCCCTCCACCCCTCTGATCCTTTTTCTCCCCCTCTCCCCCCTCTGCGTGGCGTTTGCCCCTCGCCCTCCCTACCTCCACCCCTCCGGGAAGGCGGAAAGACGGCCTCCGCCTCGCTCCGAAAGTTTCCGAGATAAATCCCGGGAAAGTTTGGAAGAAGGTGAGTACGCCCCGCGCGCCCCGCAGCCTCCCGGAGCCGCCCCCCGGGCCCGCCGCCCCGCGCGCCCCGGCCCCGCGCCCCGCTCGGCCCGGCCGCGCGCCGGCCCTGCCGGGGCGCCCGGCTACTTGAGGCACTTTCTAAAAAGTTTCTCCTCGCTCTCTCCCGCTCGGCGCGGCCGCCGCCGTCCCCTCGCCGCCCCGCCATGTTAGCGGCCAAGAGGCAAGATGGAGGGCTCTTTAAGGGGCCACCGTATCCCGGCTACCCCTTCATCATGATCCCCGACCTGACGAGCCCCTACCTCCCCAACGGATCGCTATCGCCCACCGCCCGAACCGTAAGTGCCTCCGCGCCCGGCCCCCGCCCGCTGCCCGCCCGCCCGGTCCCGCATGCGGCCCCTGCCCTGCCCCCTCCCTCCCCTCCCTCTCTCCCTCCCTCCCCGCCCCCTCCCTCCTCCTCCCCTCCTCCTCCCCTCCCCGCCTCCCCTCCCCCGCTCGCGGCCCAGGCAGCCCGAAACTCTCCAAACTTTTCTGCCTTTTGTGGACTGGATTTGTTTGCACTTCGCCATGTTCTTGCTTTCAGTTTGCTGCCTCGTGATGTTGGGGAGACCTTTCTTTCCAAGCAGGGCTTTGTTGGGTCGGGGGGAGAGAGAAGAACTTTTTTTTTTTTTTTTTTTTGCGCTCTGATTCCCCCCTCCCCCTGTGGTGGTGTTGTTTGTTTCTTCACCCTGGGAAGATGACTGTGTGGCTCTTTCTTTTCGCTCGCTCTCTCTCTTCCTTCCCTCTTCTGTGGCGTCTTGGGTTTTCCCCGGTTAACCCCTTGGCTACCGCTGCCCCGAGTGACTGGGATGCGCCCGACGCGCGGGGTAGAGAGTGGATTTTCCTGCAGGCGTTGGACTGGAGAAGTAGCGAGCGCGCGGAGCCCGGGGCCCTGGAGAAGCGCCTCGGCTTTCTCTTTCGGCTGGTTATTTATTGAGCTTTCTAGTGGTGATCGCTGGCTCTCAGCCCCCCTCCCCCCTTTCCCCTGGAAGGTCACGCTTCCCAGACTGGTCCCACTGCAAACTTGGGGGCTTTGGGCTGGCTTTTCTTTGGCAACCCCGCAGGGCCGCGAGCGCCCTGGGCGCGGTGGTGGGCTCGGCTGCCCGGCGCGCTGGCTGCGGGCTCTCCCGGGCCGCGCGGAATGGCGAGGCCCCTGTGACCGGGTTCTTGGTTTGTGTACAGCGGGGATGGCCTTCTCTGAGCGGACTCGATGTATTTCCAGGGAATTCTGGTGCCTTGGGGTTTATAGCCGGGTCTGCGTTCGCCAGCTTCCGAGAAGGCCCTCAGTGGGCCCTGGGGGGTGGATCAGAGACCAGGGTTTGCCGGCCCAAGGATGTGTAGAAGGTGAGGGAGGCCAAGGGCGCCTGTCCTTCAAGGTGGTGGGCTGCTTCTCGCGGGCCACCCAACTTTGGGGGCCCCAGGGCGGTACGGCGTGCCAGCCTGCGCGGGTGCTTCCCGCAGCGTGCGTTCGGCACCCACCCCTGACTTTTGTTAATAAGGCTCATCTCCTTCTCCGCCTGGCCTCTGCCCCCTGCCCTCGCCCTGAACCCCTCCCTCCACCCCCTCCCCCCCAATCCCAGCCTCCTCTAAAAAGCCTGGATTGCCAATCTCTAGAAGCAACCTCTGGACGTTTTGCCGGGTTTCCCGGGATTGTCATTTTGCACCTTTTCTGGTTTGGTCCCCCTACCCCTTATTTACACACACTACTTTTGTTTTTTCTTTTTTGGTAACTCGAGATAGCAATTTGAAATAATGTACCCAGTGTTCAGCCGCCGTGGATTCGGTGCTAATGGCCGAGGGCTGGCCGGACGGGAGGCGATCCGATCTACAAGTGTTTTTAAGCATTAAAATATTAACTATCAGGTTTTACTTGTTTTTTGGGCCCTGGCAAAAAGGGCAAGGGCATGCCAGACCGGGCATTTTTTATGGCTAGGAAAGAGAAATAATTATCCCCCCCCTCCCTCCTTCCCTGTACCCAGGCTTCTGCACCCAGGCTTCTGCATGCTTGGGAAGCTGGTAGAGCGTTTCAGCCCGACCTCCTCCTACAGGGCCAGCTCCTTCAGGCTGCAGGGGCCGGGCTGTGGGGTTAAAGCTGTAGGGGAAGCAGAGACCGGTTACCTTGTATTTTTCTTGGGAGCTCGTGGGCATCTTAAACCGGGAGCATTCGGCTCAGAATCAGAGGGTTTGTGTACTAACCAACCCGACCAAGCCACATTCCAAAGTAACCCTGAGAATTTCTTACTCTCCTCCCCTCCCCCTTCGATGGATTCCTCTCTGTTATTATTTAAAAATCCACTTAGCCATCCGAAAGGCCATCTGAATATTGAGCTTTGATGGCGGGCTTCTTGGCCTTCTTGACTCTTTTCAAACTCCCAGTCTGACCGCTGGCAATCTTGCCACACTGTCGCCTAAAACTTGAACACTTGAAACTGTTGTGCTGTAATTAGGAAACAGGGAAATTGTTAAAGGCAAATAAATGATTTCCCGGTGCGAAAAGGAAGGCTCCCAACCTTCCGTCCCCTTTGTGGGCATTATAGGAATAGACCGCTGTAGTTATTTTAATTGTGGACGTAGCGGGTGGCCTTGTGCTGTGACATCAGATCGAGTATGAGAGGACATTTCTGAGCTCAGTAGGCAGTTTTGAGATTTGCATGTCAAACAGCAACAGACATCTTTGTGTGTACTGCCCCTTCCTCCTACCTCTCTGTTACCTGGGTTAGATCCTGTCCTCCAAAATTAAAGTTATTTATTTAGGCCGGTAAGCAGAGCAATAGAAATGGGGACGAGAGGCGGTTGCGTGTCACTCCTGACGTCTTCGATCAGAGGGCCAGCTTGCAATTCCAGATTTGATACAGCTGCCGAGGGCATCTATAGGCAAGATAGGGGTCTTTTCATGCTCATCTGAAATTCTTAGTGCTTCATAGAGTATGTTTTTGAGGGCAAGGTATAAAGACAAACTAGCTGGATGCTTTCTTCTTTTCCCGACCCTCCTTGGTTGTGGTGTTTTTGCTACGGTTTCCGTTCCTTATTAGTGTACCTGTAAGCAGCTGCATCCTTTAAAAAAAGCAAACTCTTCGGATCCCTGATTTCTGCTTTTCTATTTAAGAATGTAAAGAATTAGGGAGTATCGTTAAATCAGCTATGATGAGTAATACATTATCTCAAGAATAATGCTTTAATTGCCGAAGACGCCATAAAGCTCGATGGTAATAATTTTATTTTAAAACCGACAAAGCTTTCTGCATAACCTTAATTTAGTCTTTGATACAGTAATAGGAAGGGCTTTTAAAAAGACAGATTCGAATACAAAACTACATTAAGGAGAGAGGTCTAGTTAAGTAGATGGGAAGTGATAGAACAGCAAATATTAGAACTGTGGTAACATTTGTATACTAAAGATAAGAGTATTGTTACCATATTAAAGTTGATAGGAAAAAGTAGTTTCACGTTTCTTTTTCCCTCTTGCCAAATGAGAAGTAGGAATAGGGTGGTTGCGATTCTAGTTAGGTCTGAGATTTCTTTTTAAGACTTGATAATTAGAGCTCTCGCATCTTCTTTAATCCCAAAGTTAGTTGCTTTTTAACTGAGCTGTTTGCTACTAGGTTGAACAAATAAATAAGCAGCATCTTGAATTCATTTTTGAACTTGGAATCCAGCATTTAAAAGAAACCGAGAGGGGCCTATTCATTGGGGTTTTACTTAGCCGGGCAAACATCTTCTCTTTCTGGCTTGTGAAAAATGAATGTTTTTTTCCTCACTCAAACAACATAATCCTTCCTAATACAAAAGATTTAGACCTTAGAGTGTGAAGGGTTAATGGTGGTCCTTCCCTGGTTGTCCTCTCACCCCCCACCTTCACCCCTGATTGTTTTGACAACACTTTTCAAAGTGTGACATTCCAAGCCCCTACATAACAATGTAATATTACTGTAATTACACAGGTCATTACATTTTAAATAGAGAACAATAAAATGCTTATCGCCCTGAAAAAGAACAGGTGTTCTTGCCCTTCTTTGGTATTTATGCTAATTGTTTTTCATCTCCTTCAGAAATATTTATGGCGAACATGTTTAGATTCCAATCTCAATGCAACAGTATTAATTCTGTGCTAATCTTTATAGGTTGGGGTTTAATGTCTGCAGTATGGATTATGGGCTCAACATTCACCCAATAAGTCATATTTTAATGATTATAAATTTAATGTGCCAGCGCTTTGCAGTTTGTTGAAGTTAAAGCTTTCTGAACCCCCAGAAACAAGCTATTAGGCAGCTGGGGGCCTGAAGTGCTTATCTGGAAGAAGTGTTTTTGGAAACTTTGGACTGCTTAAGGGAAGTAGCTTTTGCTGATGCCCCCTATCTGATTGAGAAAAGATTTGGAGGCAAACAATCCCGGTTCTTGCTAGGAGTTTTCCAGCTTGATTTTAATTTTACTGATACGGATTTCATTTAGAGTCACTGCTGGAAGCTGGTCAGCTTTCTGTTTCTTAGCAAGCTGTGAAAAAGTTACAGGAAGGTTTCCGGGGGCTGGCAGATCAAGAATGCTGTTCTGTTAGCAGCCCAGGATAACTGCAGTTCTGCGCGCCATTAAAAAAATATTTGCTTTAGAAAACTAGCATTTTAATAGTTGCACCAGAGGCTGTGCTTTCAAAGATTACAGTAGAAGCCTTTGCAGGTTTTGAATGCCTCCTCACATCCCACGAGGTGCCTGTGTGCATGCAGAAAGTGCCTAGATTTTCCTTGGTTGAGAAATCCGGGTGCACCTTCTCTTACACACGCACAGTGGGTAAACGAGAAGGTATCTAAGAGGATTTTACATTTTGTCAGATGTTTCACAACGGGGGCCCCCGAATCACATTAAAAATGCACTGTAGAGAAAGGACAGCTGCAAATTTTTGTGTGGACGCGTGTTTCTGGACCATGACTAAAACTCCGAGGACCTTTTCCCCAGCTGTCTGGAAGTTATGTGGAAGTTGGTTTATTGGCAGTTAAGTATGAGACAACCTGGATTTAGCAGAGGCTCTCTCCTACACAGGAAGTAGATGACATTATATTGGGGGAAGGGAGGAGGCTTTGCAGGCAAGGAGTGATTTTACTCCTTTTTTGTTTGGTTTGGTTTTTTTTAAACCATGGCGTTGCCAAATAAATAAGCACTTTCCAAGGAAGTAGGTATAAGCTTTTTAGTCTTGGTAAGTGGAATTAGATAATATCTTTAACCGCCTGTATAACTGTTCTAAGGTGACACATTTCAGAAGTTTTGAAAGGAGGGGTTGAATCAAATTCTTGGAGGCTTTTCTTTTTGA